GACTTCTACATGGATCTGCTGGTTATCTGTGGCCTGTTCTTCAAGGCTGTTGCTCCTTTTTGTATTAGTATTTGACTGTTGGGAATAATAGAGCTTGGACGACTTTTCATTGCACCTTTTTCTGGGTGGCTTTGTCTCTTTCTCAACAGAGAACAAGATGTTCAAATTGTGCATCAAAGATCGAAGGATCCGTTTTGGAATTTGCTTCACTTGCCTGCTGGGATCCTTCTCAATTTCCAGTGGTCTTTGCATTGGACTTCTCTCCAGTGGGCTTGTATTTCATCCATTTTCATGCGCTGGTTGTTTGGGAGTCTAGTTCAATGGAAATCTCTACAGACTGCTTCACAGGATTCAATCCAGAGTTTTTCACTTGAGGAGTCTCTTCAGAATCTTGATATTTTTTTGGATAATTTTCTTCGTTCTTCAATGGATCTTTCTGTTCATAGCTCAGAGGTTGTCTTTCTGCAGAGGTGTCTTCTCAAGATCTCTAGCTTTTGGATAGTCATTCATCTGAAGCTTAAGAGACCTCTAAATGCCTTCTGGCCTTGGGTTTCTTTACCTTTCGATGGCTGTCTTTCTGCAACAGAGCTGGATATTCATCTTCTCCATGGATTTGCGAAGATTACTCGATTCAATGAAGAAATTCTGCTGGATATTCATCTTCAACATCGTTTTAGGGAGGAGAAATATGGACTTGAATCGCCATTGTCATGCCTATCCCAAGGCAGAGTTTTTTGTTTCTTAGAAAGTTTTTCTGCTTCTGGGCAGATACATTGGGCTATCTCTCTGGCTTCGGTGTCGGTTCCACTACCTTATGAGATAAGTAGCTCTGCCTTTCAATTGCTGCAATTACCTATCAAGTCAGCTTATCCTCTGACCATTAATATTCTGCGGCAACCCTTTCAACTACCTTATCCGATAGTATTCTCAGCCTTATCAGATAGTTTTTCCCAGCTATCAGCTCAAGCTCTCAGCTTTGAAAACATTCAGCTCAGCTGCGCAGCTCAAGCTCTCAGTTCTGCATGCCTTCATCTCAGACCCACAGCTCATTAACTACTCTTTATTATGCTTAGCTGCCTACATTATTTACATTTTTCCCAACACTTTTAGAATTAAAATTCGGGGTTTTAGTTTCTGGGTTTATATGTTCTGTGATTGTGTGTTACTGTTTGGTTGGTTTGGATCTGATTGTTTTGTGCTTGATCCCCTTAACTTGGTTATCATTGTTATATCTGAGTTTGAGTTCGGTTTCAAGCTCGCACTAAAAAATGAGGGTGGACGAATGCAGCCTGAACTGTTTGTTTTCTCAATGAGCCGAGTCTAAAACAAAAATTTAAGCTTGGTATGGGAGCCCGAGTCAAATCCACCCCTTCAACAATAGGAACCAGCACACCAAGGATTGTCAAGCGCGGCTCGTAAGCACCTCTTGCTGGGAGAACTATGAATAACTCTTCTGGTATTGGCCTTTTTGAGAATCAATAACAGCTTCTGTTTCCTTTTTTAGAATCATTGTGTATTGCTATAAAGGAGGCACCCCAATTATTGCACCAGCTTCTGTTTCCTTTTAGTTTTACTTGCTTCACCCGATACACCGATGCCTGAATTTTTCTCTTTAAACTGCCTTTTTTCTGCTTCTTTTTTTTTAAAAAAAAAAAATTCAAAAATCCTCTGAACTTTGAGGGTTGTAATGGGTATGGTGGTAGGACCATTAGTTTTGCAGCATGATCTGATTTATCACCTGCAGATTCATGGAAAATTGAGTGAGTTTAATTTAGTAATAAAATTAAATGGCGGCTGCGCATGCGGGGGAGGTGGTAATTTTGGTCTGGGAGTGTCTGGCTTCAAAAATATGGTTAGCCTTCAATTCGCCTATATGTGCATATGTTTATAATATATCTATATTTATATAATAAAATAATTTATAATTCAAATCTTAAAAGATAAACAAAATAATTTTAATAGAAAAATAGACTCATAAATGTGTGTTTAGAGTGATTTTTTAAAAAGTATTTTTATAAATTATTTTTCATAAATACTTTACAAAAAAATAATGTTTGAAACTGTCCCACCACCACATTTATTACCCTCCCACCATTGTTGTCGCCATTGTCGCCACCACCACCACCGCCTCTACCACCACCACTCCCACCACTGGCATCGACGCCATCACTACCACCACCATCGCCGTCGCCGTCGCCACCACCACCACCACCGCCACTGCCACCGCCCCTAATACCAAAAATCGATATTTAAATTTTTTTTCTATATTTGTGATTTGATTTTAAATATAAATATAAATATATTTATTATTTATCAATTTTTATTACTTTGTCCCTTCAACTACATGCAATAACTAGTATCTATATAATATGACTGCATTGGAATAATATGGTTGCATTGGAAGTGCATAAAATTACAGAGTAATCAAGGTAGTGTTTGATAACCTGTTATTTTTTCGTTTTTGTTTTCATTTTATAGTAAAAAAATATAAAAATGTGTTTGATGAATGTTTTTATTTATTTTTGAATTCTCCTGTTTTAAAAATAAGGCTAAAATATAGAATCATCTAAAACAATTTTTTGAAAACATCAAAAAAAAAAAAAAAAAAACACAAACACACATATTCAAAAGGGTTTTAATGAGATATTAGTTTCGATTCCCCTATAAACAAAAAAATGATTTCCTCGGTTGAGTATATAAAAAGCCCCTTCACTTTTGTTTTTTTTTTTTCAGATCTCCTCTCTCTCTCTCTCTCAACCTGCTCTATTTTGGTGGTGGTGATGGGTTTTTTTGGTGGGGGGGGGGGGGTGTTGGCGGTGGGTTTCAGGAATGGTGGTGGGTTGGGTGGTGCTGGGTTTCGGGGATGGGGGTGGATTTCGGGGATAGGGATGGGTTTCGGTGGTAGTGGGTTTCAGGGGATGGGAGTGGGTTTCGGGGATGGGGGTGTGTTTCGGGGAAAGAAGAGGCTCTGCAGATAATCGAACTCTATAGGAACCTGCCTCGTCTCATCGTCTTCGATCTCGATTACACTCTCTGGCCTTGTTACTGTGAGTGCTGATATGAAGATGAAATGCCATCATTGTTTCCACAAGCTACCAGAATATTATACGCTCTTAAGGACAAAGGAATTGATATGGCTATTGCTTCTAGATCACCAACTCTTGGGATAGCAACAACATTTCTTGACAGATTGGGAATCCGATCCATATCTGTGGCTGAGGAGATATTCTCCAGTTGGACACACAAAACGGAGCATTTCCAAAGAATTCATAGGAAAACTGGGATACCATTTGATTCAATGCTTTTCTTTGATGATGAGGATAGGAATATTGAAGTGGTCTCGAAAATGGGTGTTGTTGGGTGGTGCTGGGTTTCAGGGGATGGGGATGGTGGTGGTGGTTGGGTGTTTGGCGGTGGTGTTGTGCGGTGAATTTTTGGAATAATACCAAACATATTTTTTATTTTTGTTTTTATAAGTTTTTAAATATAAATAATTTGTTTTGTATTTTTAATTTTTATTACAAAAAAAATAAGAATTTACTTTGTTTTTTTTATAAAAAAACTCATAAAAACGAAAACATTATTAAACGCACTCCAAATATCATACGCTGATTTTAAATGGGCCGCTTTGTGTGATTTTGGAGAAGATCTCGAATGGATTTGATTTGTTGGGCACCACCACCACACACCAAATTGGAAAAAAAATAAAAATAAAAAGATACACTTTAGAATGCTAGAATTAGGATGCTTTCTCCAATGGCTCATCCCCTTTCTCGAAGATACCTCTTGCGCAGCGCTTCGAATTGTGTTGTTTTTATGTTTTCTTATTGTGTGTGTATATATATATATAATGATTTTGTTGTGTGTGCGTGTATTTGTGTGTGTGTCTTTGTTAGCTCGATGTTAACTCTTCATTGTGCCTATCATGCCCATGTAGAAGAAAATATGTATGAAATTTATACAATGTTTTGTTCAGGTTAATTATTATTATACGCGTTGTGCTAATAACTTATGTATTTTGTGATGTTATTTTAGATGGTTTTTAGTAGTTCTAGGTTTGACAAAGATAAAGTAAACTGGACTGTGGAGCGACATAAAACTCTTTTTGAGTTATGTGTTAAAGAGGTGGATAAAGGGAATCGACCCACTACTAGTTTTAACAAGCGAGGTTGAAAGAATATTATAGATGAGTTTGTGGCAAAAGAAAATGTCATGTATGATAAAAAACAATTGAAGAATCACTTTCCTATTACTAAGGATGTATGGAATTCATGACACAAATTGACTAATCATACTGAAGTAATTATTGACCCTATAATAGAAGGTGTCTTGTGTGATGATCAGACATGGAATATGTTTATTAAGAATATTGATTTGTCATATACAAATCCAATATATAAAAAGAAAGAACGTATTGAATCAATAATTCTAAGAGACAATCAAGTATGATTTTTGATTGTATTTACTATTAACAATGTGTTTTGCGACTTTAGTATGTTATTGGGATAGTTGGATTATATAATTTTTTTCGTATGATACATTTATTAATATGATATTTTTGTGTATGATATATATATATATTTGTGTATCATTATATGTGTAGTATATGTTTGTATATGTGTATTCAATGTTATTAACAATTGTGACACAAATAAGTATTTTCACATCCAAATGTACTTTTTATAAAATATATTAATTTAAGTATTTTAAATTTTGAGTTTCTGAACAATACTTATTTAATAAAAGTATGTTTCTTATAAACACTTTTGATAAACATTTATTAAAAAAATATTTTTTGGATTTCATATGTCATTCCAAGCGCACTCTAAGAGTGCGTTTGGGATGACTTATGAAATCCCATAAATACTTTTTCAATAAGTGTTTATCAAAGTGTTTTATAAGAAAAAAACTTTCATTAAATAAGTATTATTTGGATATTCAAAATCAAAAATACTTAAATTAAAGTATTTTATAAAAAATATGTTTGGATGTAAAAATATTTATTTGTGTCGCAATTGTTAATAACATTTAATGCACTTATACAAGCATACACTACACATACATTGATACACAAAAAAAAATATCATACACAAAAATATCATATTAATAAAAATATCATATGAAAAAACTATATAGTCCAACTAAATATTATCCACCTCCGGAACACATAATTCAAAAAAAGTTTTATGACTCTCTACAATCCAACTTGCTTTGTTTTTGTCAACGCTTTTTTTTTTTTTTTTTGGCAAAATGAAAAATTTTATTTATTCACAAAGCAAATCATTAGAAGAAGCAAAGAAAGGCACATACGCCTTTTCATCACAAACAAACCCAACATAATTACAAGAACCAAAGATAAAAAACACCAACCAAAATGTAGAGGTAGCGAAGCAATCCTTGTCCAATCCAGCCCAACACCTTCGTCACAGCATCTTCTCAATTCTAAAATTTCAAACAAATTAACACTTAAATTCAGCCACAACATCCAAACTCAGCCCTTATAATCAAAAACATAGTTGTCAAATCGCGTATTAGAAGGTGTATCATTTTTTAAAATAGTGTATCGTATCATGTATCATATGTTACAGTGCAATTTTAAAAAATTAATAATAAAATAAATGTTTACAAATTTTAGGGTGTCTAGATGTAATTTATTAATGAATATATTTATAACAGGGATTTAAGTGTTATGCGTGTATAAACTTTAGGGAGTCTGTGTGTAATATTTTTAATGTTAGGCGGTCTGAATGATTATGTCACGTCCCAAATTTTATTAAAGTGTGATTAAAACAAACGCTTTGTTTATTTAAAAAAAAAACACATGCCTGTATGTTGTAAAAACATCTAGGAAAATATCTCTTTAGTTGAAATAAATCAATTTTTTTTTTTTTTGAAAATTTCAACAGAGTTTCATTTGAAAATTGGGCTTCCAACCAGTTAGTAAGAGTATCCCTGTGACAGCATAACATAATTTAAACTAACTAAATATCCACAACATGCCTCCATCCAAAAATATAATCCAACTAAATTCGGGGTGGCAATTAGAGGCTCACGAAGTCCTCCCAAACCTGAATACATCCAACACTAATATATACCATAACTTAGTACCAAAAGTCATAAATTTACATTACAACACCCAAAATAATAATCCCTCTATGGGATGATCAAGTGTACACCAAAAATGCCTCAAGACCACCTTTTCAAATACAATGCTTGAGTGCTAACATTTCTATATAAGTTCTAAAAGTAAATACAAAAAACTTCAAAAGAGATTCTTTCTAGTCCAAACTCCTACAAGCATTTCATCACTTATGCCCCAAGATGCATGCTAGTCTTTGAAAATATTAGTAAGGGATGAGCAACCACACACTCAGTAGGATAATCCTTTTTTCAAGTATTTTTAAAGTTTTAAAAACCAACATTCCACAAATTATATTAATAAGTAATGAAAGCTTTTTATAATTAAATACAGGTACAAGATAATAAATAAAGCATTTATAAAAATCTCCCAACACCTCAATATTAGAAATATACAATGTATAAATTAAAGTCAAACCATCATTGCAAATATCATGCATGCCTCGCATACGGACAATATCATCAATCACACCGGTTCACGCATGAAGCATCCCTAGGGAACCTTTTGGGTCTTACACCCTAGGGTCTCTTCGCCCTTCTTGCTTTTCAAGGGGAACGTGCAGAGCACAACTTGTGATGCCACATAGGCCATCACCGAAAATCACTACCATAACCAATCCCCCTTAGGACTAGTAGTCGTCTTAGCAACCCACTCAATAGGCCCCAACCCTCTACTAACCTCTGCCTGTCAGTATTGAGCATAAATTTTTCAGAAATCATTATTTTCTATATCCATAAATTCTTTTGAAAACACATGTCATAACTTTGACATTTTATCAAACATGTGGTAAGCTCAAATCTCAAAAGTTGCATTTCCAAAACAACACAACTATTTCTGAGAGAAAGTAAGTCATATATATTATGTAGAAAATAATAGCATACTTTAAAACTCCCAAATCATAGGTTTAATCAAATACCCATAACTAAAAAACTAGGGCATTTACATTTTCAAGAGAATAAGTCATATTATGTACAAGATCATAACATACTTTAAAACCCCCAAATCATTAGTTTTATCAAATACTCATAACTAAAATCAAACAAGGGTTTCAAACCCATAACACTAAAATCATTTCCTTTTCCAAGAGAATAAGTTATATTTTGTACAAATTTATAATATACTTCAAAACCTCCCAAATCATAAGTTTAATCAAATACTCATAACTAAAATCAAACAAGTATTTGAAACCCACCACACTAAAATCGTTTTTATGCATGTAGGTTCACAAATCCATGACATATTCAACACTATATCAAGGTTTATAACAAGAATTTTGCCATCAACCACATAGTAAGCTTTAACTAAAGAAAATACATGAGATGTACAATGTAAATGCAAGAGAAAGGAAAATTCCACCTAAGAATCAAGAATTTCAAGCCAAATTCCTAAGATTTTCAAGCAAACTCCAAATTTTATGGACCTTCTTCTTCCCCTTTCTCTTTCCCTTTATCTTCTCCTAGAGTTCTAAGAGGTTTTGGGTAAGAGTAGAATGAAAAAATGGAAGAAAAGGGGCTGAAATTTGTGTTTTAAACACAGCAGTCTCGAAATCCACTATTTATGGGCTGAAAAATACATTTTTTCTCCAAAATTATGAATTTGCCCATATGACTGCCCTAAAGTTTCTAATTTTGATCCATATGACTGCCCTAAAATTTTTCGACGTTTTGGATTCATTTTTAATGTTATTTTTACTTAAAAATATTTAATTTTATGATTTATCTCAAAATTAAAGTTAATTTACAACTGAAATACTAAAATTACTATTTTATCCCGTTGAACCGCTATATAAGCTAAACAGTTATTCCAAGTTTTTCGGACCTCCTAAATTCAATAGTAATGTTATTTTGATATAAAAATATTAATATACTTATTTACTTACCCTTATCAACCTTAAACATCACCAAAAATTAAATTTGACCCAAAATTCAATACGTTCGTACTTCAAACTCACACGACTATTCATTTAACAACAATTTAAAATTTCTCTCATCATTTTAATTATTTTAAAAATACTAACAAGTTAATATCATTTATATTTATATAACACATGAGATCTCACAGATTAAGTGACAAATCTCAAGGAGTCTAGGTGTAATTTTCCCTATTTTAAAACAAAGTGCCTGATCAAAAAAAAAAAAGACGAGAGAGAGGGAAAGATTGAGAGAGCAATCAAGAGGTGGAGAGAGAAAGATCGTGAGAGCGATCGAGAGGCAGAGAGAGAAAGATCGCAAGAGCGATCGTGAGATAGAGGGATCATGAGACAGAGCAATCGTGAGATGGATTGTCTCTCT